TGGGTAATTTAAAAAAGCTAATGATATTTGTAACAGTTCCCACAGTTTGCCTAGCTATATTTCTAATTCAACACTGGATCATTTAAATCTCGTTTCTGTCCTTGAACTGCAAGCATCTTAGCTCTAGTAGATCAATGAAATCTAGCACATCCTATACATTTACCATTTCTCTATCTTAGTCTATAACTGAATGCAAATATAAATTTCATTATACCTCCAATATTCATGCTATTCCTCTGACAATCATAGGCACTTACACTGAATTTTTTTTCATATTATTTTTCTAAGAAATGCTATAAACTGTTATTGACCTTCCTACATTTATATATTTATATTCCCATAAAAATCGTGTGACAGCATTCTGGTGTAGTTACAATCTGGGGATATGGTAGGAAAGGAAATTAAGACACTACATAGGGCATCTGAAAGTTTTATAAGGAAAGGGAGAGTCTGAGGAGAGTTAAACTTCAATTGATGCTACATTTTAACACTGCAAAATTTTCTAAATGAGAAGGAAGAAAATTTATAGAGTTGAAGAAGGAAAAAGAGGAAAGAAGAACATGAGGAAGGAAGAGAGACACTGAAGGAAAGCAGCAAGCATGGCGAGGGGGGGAAAATTGCTTATATTTACATTTAATTTCCGACTGAAGATTGTAAATCAAGCAGCATTTTTTCTCTTCGTATTCATCCCCATTTTGAAGGCCTCCCTTACAATGAAGTCATCTGGTGTTGGATGTCTCCAGCAGTCCCTAGTGCCTATCAAGTTACTTGAAAATTTTGCTTCCTATTTTCATTAGTTTTGATCTTATATTTCTGTGCTTAAAAAGTCAATAAATTTCAACCGTGGTACTGTTCAAAGAAGAAAATATCTTTTTTCTGAAAGCACTCTGAATATCTGTGGTGTTTGTTTATCTCCTTGGAAATTAATGAAGGATTTCTTTCCTCCCCGATGGTGTAAAGAGCCTGCAATCTTATCTTAAATTAAAATCTCAATTAATTTTTTTCCTTAATGATCAAACTTCGTGGTGAGTTTTCAATTATCATAGTGACGTTATTGTGGTTCTGAAGGCTGTGGCAAAAACATTAAAACATTGAAAGAACAACTCAGTATCAAGACATTAGCGTCCTATTCAAAGAGAAACATGCAAGATGCTGTGTGAGGAAAGAAAGTAGAAATAAGAATTAGCAACTCATGGAGTTTGCACAGCAGAGGAAACCATCAAAAAATCAACAGGCAGCCTACAAAATTGGAGGAAATGTTTGCAAATGACAGATCTGACAAGGGGCTAGCACACACAAGGTATAAAGAATCCGTGCCACTGAGGAGCAAAAGCCCCAAACTATGTGATTAAAACCAGAAAGAGAATAGACATTTTCCCCAGAAAACATGCCAATGGCCGGCAGGCACAGGTCAAGGAGCTCAAGGTCGCTCATCCTCAGGGAGCCACAGGAGGAGCCACGGGACCTGACACCTCACCCCTGTTTTGGCCGCCCCCGAAACGTGGAGAGACTCGCGCGGGAAGGTGAGGCGGGAGGCCCCGGCGCACAGCAGCTCAAGCGCTGATGGGGTGCACCTTTCATTAGCGCCAGTACACGGAATTCTATCTCCGAGTGTGTGATAATTCATGCTGCATTAATGATGTGACGTGTTTTATTTTATAAGTAAGTTTATCGTTTCAACCTTATCAGAATCCCTCGTCCAGGCAGCCCGGCCTTGTCAGCTCGCCATGGCTTCGAGGACGCACATTCCTCGCCCTCTCTGGCAGCGACCCCCTGGGTCCCGACACAGCCACCCTCATGTTCACTTGAAGTGAAAAAAGGTAAAACGCACCTTCTATAGTTTTTAATTGCCAATTAGTTTTTATTCGTAACTCATTTAGCACTGTTTGAGTTCCAACTTCATAAATTTGAGAAGGATCAGACTCATTATTTTCTTCAAATTAACTTCTGAGTACTAAAAACCTGTTCCTCTATTGTTCCTTTGTGTATGCAGTCTAATGGAATCTCAGTTTCCACATAAGAATGTGCACATGTCAATAACATACTATGAAGCCTTTTTTAAAAAAGATTTATTTATTTACACAAGCACTGGGTACAGTCAGAAGTGCCAGAGGGTGAGAGAATTCACCAGAGCCAGAGCAGGGAGCAGAGCAGGCAGAGGGACCGAGTACACTGCTGAGGGAGCAGCGGGCGGCAGGAGAGGTCTGCGCGCCATGTGGGACCCTCCTCCGGTGGTCGGGAGCAGCCGGGGATTGAACCGGCGCTGCAGAGGCTGCGGGCAGCTTCGCAACCCAGCGCTCAACCGCTGCGCCACCGGGAGGCCCCTATGAAGCCTATTTAAAAGCAATTAAAATTATAAATGAAATTTTCTTTCTAACTGGTAAATCAGTAATTTTAATACTTTCACCAACTACCAGAATATGACTATTATCTATCTATGAAAGAAGTTTATATATATAGTATATTATATATATATATATATATATATATGCTATCTCTCATCCATTCTTTATAAATTACTGTAAAAGGAAAACATTTCTGGATTATAAAAATTAAATAAATAAAAACATATATACCTCTATTATTATCCTATTAACAGATATAGGATCATGATTATAAGAGATCATTTTAAAAGAGACTTTTTAAAAGATTTATTTATTTATGCATACAAGAACTGGGGTGTAGGCCAGAGGTGTGAGGGGTCAAAGGATTCACCAGAGACAGAGTGGGGAGCAGAACAGGCAGATCTACTGAAACACACTGCTGAGGGGAGCAGCGAGCAAGGCAGGAGAGCTCTGGTGGCCCTGTGAGTTGCTCCCAGGCCTGCAGGGGATCGAACTCCTGCTGCAACGGCTGCTGATAGCTTGATAGCACTGCCTTTAACCCCTGTGTCACCAGGGAGGCCCCATTTTAAAGTAATATCTAGATTTTAAAATAGCATAAAGTGACAATTAGGAAAGAACAGTTTTAACCTGCATAACTTTACACGTTAAAATCACAGTATTTTAATATTGTAATTGCTAGTCAATGCAGGCTATTTCTATTATTCAAAAGCATGGTAAACATGATGCAAACAATTAAATATAAATACAAGCTAACTGTTTCAACTGTTGTTACTGGGAAGATATCAGATCTTCCAGCCTGGAATAATTGTGTAGACACACTCTGTAGTTGAGGATTGAGTTTTGGGATGAGGTACGTTTGACATGGGTAGTTTCCAACGCTGTGCCAGTACAGAGACAAGCTGATCATTAAAGAAACTTCTTGGCAAACCACTTCTTGTTAAGTGGGAATGCAGAATGCTTGGCATCTGTAATTGAAGTAATTGTAAGAAACCACAATACTTAGCCAGCTGTAAACTTCAAGGTATCCAATTAATCAATATCACAAATACATTATTGTTCAAAATAAATAAGAATTTAAAAACACTCAAATCAATAAATATAATTACAACAATAGTCTGTTCCATTCATTTGTCTTCCAGATGTTTGGTGAAATTACTGCAGCCTGGAGCCAAACAACTAACACCATCTTTACTTTTGTTTATTGTAATAAATGTGTTAATGAAAAAGTACAAAGATAGATAATAGAAATTAATGTACTGTGACATAAAATTTTGCTTGAAAATCAAGGCAAGTACAGTAAAAGCTAATATGTTTAAATGAGCATTGCATAATGTATATCTAACAACTATAAAAATCATTTTTATTGAAGTATATCTGCAAATCATACAACATGAAAAATGACAGCAATAGGCTCGAGACAGACTAAGTCTAGTCTATGGAAATAAATTTTGATCAGTATTTAAAAGTTATTCTGGATAATCACAGGAAACGGGAGTTTAAAAGTATCTGCACATACTCTATTTTTTCCTGTTTGTATCCAAGTATCATTAATCTAACTCTAGTATTGTAAATTATTATACTCAGTTCCTTTATAAAACATCATTTTGATTCAAATAAAAATAAACCCTCACTATCACTTACATAATAGGATACATAGGTGTACACAGACAGTATACGGTATAGGGTATAAGAACAGTATATGGTATAAGACAGTATATGGTATAAGAACACATTATACGGTATACACCATGTTACATGGTATTATATGGAAAAATGTGGGAGATCGAAAATATCATTAGATTTTATATATGATGTTACTAATAATATCACTAATTTTAAGTTTGTAATATTATCTAAGTTATAAATCACTTAAGAAGTCTTCAAAAATACAGTATATCATTTGTATTGTTTTTAAATAGTACTTTTTAAATATGCTCACTTACCAACCAATAAATCTTAAATGAATTAGGAAAATGTATAACAATTTCAGTCTTATATTTAAGATCTTTCAAATAAGCATGTTATGATTTAGTATCAAAAATACTTTTTTTACTCTATTTTTTTCTAATTACTGGAAAAATTAATGAACATCAACAAAAGCATTTGTTGGAACTAAATGAAATAACAGTTCGAGGTCATTGCTTCTATGAAATGTTCGAATACAGTAAACAAAAATAGATGTTTTATTTCAAAGTAAGGATATCCGTTTTGAATATTGAGCATTAAAATCGATGGCAAATTGAATAATACCCTTTTTTAAAAGATTTATTTAATTATGCATGCAAGAACTGGAGTGTAGGCCAGAGGTGCAGTGGGTGAGAGGACTCAACAGAGTGGGGAGCAGAACAGGTGGATCCAATGAAATCCACAACTGAGGGGAGCAGTGGGGAGATAGGAGAGGTCTCCTGCCCTCTCCTGTGTGGGTCAGCTCCTGGGCTGGGGATCAAACTCCTGAATTATGCCTCAGTGTCTGGTGAAAGCTTGATAGCACGGCGACTTTAACTCCTGCATCCCCAGGGAGGGCCGAATAATACAATTATAAACCAAATAAACTAGGGTTTGATGGGTTAATTCTACCAAACTTTAAAATTTTTTAAAGGTTTATTTATGCACACAAGAACTGAGGTACAGGCCAGAGGTACAGGAGGTGAGAGGATTCCCCAGAGACAGAGCGGGGAGCAGAAAAGGCAGACCGACTAAAATCCACTGCTGAGGGGAACAGCGGGGAGACAGGAGAGGTCTGCTGTGCCCTGTGGGTAGCTCCCTGGCCAACCAGGGATGGAACTCATGCTGCAGAGACTGCCCATAGCTTCACAGTGCTGTGCTGAACCCCTTGTGCCACCAGGGTGGCCCCACTTTTGAAGACATTGTACCAATTCTCAACAGCTCTCTGAGTGTCTTTCTGACAGTAGAAGGTACATGAACACTTCAACATATAGAAGCACCCACATACACACTCATGTACAGGCTCACATGCACACACTTGCACAGACACTGTGAAATGCACATACACCTAAAGAACATAGTGCAAATACCTAATGACATACTCATTGGCAGCTCTGCGCCACTCTCCATCTCACTGTGCTATCACCGTGTGATCCACCTGACTTCTAAAATTTTCTCAATGCTTTCTAAAATTTTCTAAATTTTCTTAAATTTCCAGTGCTGATCATAGGAATTTTAAAGCAAATTTAGGTATCTGATGACCCAGGTGTTGGAAGTGCGGGCACGTTCATAAATGAGAAGCAAATAAGGTCGGTTTCAAACAATGATTTAATGAGTCATGGCATAGACCACGCTAACAAAGCAATCCATTTCTGAGTGTCTCCCATCAGGCCGAGAAACAGCATTCAGATGCCTCCACGCCCCAGCGTCCTAGAGGCAGAGCCGGTCACCTGGAGGTCCCCTCTGCAGTGGGGAGCCCGTCTGCCCATCGCGGCCACCTCCTGCGCCGTCCGGGACCTGCGTGGGAAGAGAAGAGCCAGTAAAGCCCAAGCAGAGAGTGAAGTGTTCAGGATGCTCGTGTGTGAGTGAAATCCCCGAGGAGCGTTGCACAGAGGTGATTGGGCAGGGTTCAGAAGGAAACCAGGAGGCCCTACCACTAGCTGGCAGGTGAGCTATTCAACTTGGAGCTTCAGTTTTTAAAAGGGGCCCAAGCCAGGGGGACTTCCTACCGTGTCCGTCAGTCAATGACAATGCCACTCAGACCACAGAGCTCCTGCATCCTCTGCGCCATCCGTGTGCTCAGGCGCCAACAGCAGGGCTCTCCCAGCAAGGGGGCGGGGAGGCCTTCACAGGACAGAGCCTAAGGTGGGAAGCCAGGCCGTGGGTTCCCCGCCGCCTCTGGCCCTGGGGCCTCTGGGAGCTCCGCCCCTGCACAGCTCCACTCCCCACCCTTCATCTGTTCAGCTGCCTCCAACCTCCACTCGCCCCCCTTCACCCGCTTTGCTCACCCACCCCTTTCACCCGCTTTGCTCGCCCCCACCCCAGGTGCTTCACCAGTTCCATTGCCCTCCTGGCCCTTCACCTGCTCTGCTCCAGGACATCTGTGTTCCGCGGACATCTGTGATCAGGTCCTGTGTGCGTCATGCTTCTCCTGGCCCCTCTGACTGGGCCCAGGCCCTGACCCCTCTCCAGAGCCTCGCCCTCCCCTGGCATGCTCCTGCTCACTTGGTGGCTGCATTTTGGGCGGGACGTCTGCAGGGTGTGGCAGTCTTATTAGTTGTCGGGTGGGTGAACACCCTTGCCGTGTTTTCAGTGGTGTGGTCGGCAGAAACAGCACAAATTTAGCAGGGCATTCATTATCCTCCTGCTGGCCCGCCCGCCTTGGCTAGAGCTAATGGATGGGACTGAGGTGTCATTGTCTTCATGGCTTTCTGCAGGAGCCACCGCATTCCTGCGGAACTTGAGGAGCCAGCGGCGTCTTGGGGGAGGTCTGAGGTTGGTGAGGGGGGGCTGGGGGGCAGGACTGACTGGTCCCTTCTTGCTTTCCTGTTCACCCTCCACCAGGGGGCCTGGCATGGTGGTGGTGCTACCACCCTCCTTGGTGTCCTGCACCTGGGGGCCCGGAATGGATGTGGCGCTTTGCTCTGGGGCATCCTCCTGCGGGGGGTCTAGAATGGAGGTGGCGCTGTCCTCTGCCTGGGGGCCTGGAATTGAGGTGGCGCTCTGATCTGGGGCACCCTCCTGCAGGAGGTCTGGAATGGAGGTGGCGCTCTCCTCCCAGGCATCCTCCCGCAGGGGGCGTGACCTGGGGGTGGCACTGTCCTCCACCTGGGGGTCCGCAATTGAGGTGGCACTTTGCTCTGGGGCTTCCTCCTGCAGGGGCTCTTGAATGGAGGTGGCGCTGTCCTCCGCCTGGGGGCTTGGAATTGAGGTGGCGCTCTGATCTGGGGCACCCTCCTGCAGGGGGTCCGGAATGGAAGTGGCGCTCTCCTCCCAGGCGTCCACCCGCAGGGGGCGTGACCTGGGGGTGGCGCTGTTCTCCACCTGGGGGCCCGGAATTGACGTGGCGCTGGGCTCCGGGGCAACCTCTTGCAGGATGTCCAGAATGGAGGTGTCGCTCTCCTCCCAGGCGTCCTCCCGCAGGGGGCCCGGCGTGGGGGTGGCGCTGCGCTCTGGGGCGTCCCTCTGCAGGGGGCCCGGCGTGGGGGTGGAAGAGTCCTCCCGGGTATCCCCCACCTGGGGGCTTGACGGGGAGCTGGCACTGCACCCTGAGGCTCGGTCCTGCGGGATTTTCACGCAATTGGTCCTGCGGCCCGGGGTGGCCAGGAGGCTGAACACAGCTGACGCAGCGGCATCCTCTGTCTGTCCAGCCTCCTGGCTTTGCTCATCCCCGGACACCTGCAGGAGGCCCTCCCCGGAGTCCCGGGCACCAGGGGTCACGGCGCGTGGGCAGGGCTCCTGGGGGGCGGGGAGACTCGGCCACGCCTCCTCCTCCTGGGGGCTCCCCTCCCCCCGCCTCCGGGACCCAGGATGAGGTCCGACCCCATCACCTCGTCGAATCTTCGCTCCACCACGGCCGTCTGGCTCTGCTGTCTCTGATCGCCCATACTCACCATGGCCTCCGCCAGGGCCGCGTCGTGGTGGCTGGGCGACGGCTCGTGGACGGCCAGGAGCCCCTGAGTCGGCCGCACCCACGGGTGCTGCTGGATGGCCTCCAGGCTGCTGCGCCCCTGGGGGTCCTGCACCATCATTCTGCCCAGGAGGTCCCGGCACTGGGCCGAGAGGTAGGGGGGCAGGTGGAAGTGCCCGCTGACCACGCGGTCCCGGAGCTCCACGAGGTCGGAGCCCCGGAAGGGCAGCGCGCCCGTGACCATCCTGTAGAGCACCACCCCCAGGCTCCACACGTCCACGGCGGGGCCCGCGTACGGGCGGTGCAGGAAGATCTCGGGCGCCGCATACTCGGGGCTGCCGCAGAAGGTGCTGAGCGCCGCGCCCGCGCACTCGATGCTCAGCCCGAAGTCGCTGAGCTTGAGGTTGTGCTCGCGGTCCATGAGGATGTTCTCCGGCTTGAGGTCGCGATGCACGATGCCCCGCGCGTGGCAGTGCGCGACCGCCGCGAGGATCTGCTGGAACTTGTGGCGCGCCTCGAGCTCCTCCAGGCGCCCGCGCCGGAGCAGGTAGTCCAGCAGGTTCCCCCCGCCCGCATACTCCATGACCAGGAGGAGTTCCTCCGGGGTGTCCAGCACCTCGAACAGCTGGATGATGTTGGGGTGCTGCAGCGCTTTCATACAAGCCACCTCGCGGGCCAGGAACTCGAGGCGCGCCTGCCTGGCCTTGCAGATGAACTTGATGGCCACCTCCGTGCCGGTCACCAAGTGTAGCGCCAGCTTGACTTTGGCGCAGGCGCCCGCCCCCAGCGTGCGCAGCACCCGGTAGTTTTTCATGCTGGGGGCCCCGAGAGCGCAGGGCCTGAACATAGCGAGTGCCGACCCGGCGGGCTGTCCCCGCGGCCCTGACTGCGCTGGCGGCCCTGGCGCTGCCTCTCCTGACCTCACGCTCTCCCCGATAGTATTTACAAGGGTTACTACTATATTAACAATAACTACACTAACAATATAGGATTAATAGTATACAAAATTACCCACTAAGCTAACTAAATACTAACAAAGCTACCTTAACTCTACCTACAACTACACTAACCTTACTATGCTAACCTTACTAGAACACTAACACTAACACTAACTATCTACACCAAAGATAAATGAACATACACAACCAAAAAAATACAAATGATATAAACATTTAAAAACACGATCAAAACAAACCAATCACAAACAAGCCATTACATTCACGAATACAACATAGAACAACAGCAAGGACAAAGAACAGACAACAACAGGACAAACAATTAGAAACTGACACCAACAACAAAATAGACCCACGACAAAGGGGAAAAACGAACACACGACAAAATAACAAGGGAAAAGGGGGGAGAAGGAGAGGGACACGGGACTGGACGGGACGGGGGGGGGGTGGGGAGGAGACACAAAAAGGAAAAATAAAAAACTAAAATAAAACAGCACAAATTAAAATAATAAAGAAAAAATAGAAAAAAAATAAGCAAGTAACAAAACAATACAAGAAAACAAGACAAAAATAAAAATACAGTAACTAAAATAAATAACTAAAATAAAGAACTAAATAAACAGAAAACCAGAGGAAAACCACATAAACCACACCACCACGCTACCTTCCGTCCGAGTCTGCAGGTCGCTATCCAGAGGCTTCCTGGCTCTTAAGGACACGCAGCAGCAGCCGGCCGGGCTTATATAGGCAGGGCCGGGGGCGCCATCACGGTGGCCCTTTATGCAGTCGGCCCTTTATGAGCCGAAGGGGGCCGCCGCCCTGGGCAAGGGAAACCCCAGTGGCTTCTCGGCCTTAAGGGAAACGCAACTGCCAAGAGGTGTGTTTCCAGGGCTTCCTGGAGATGGACCTGTCCCCAGTTAAGGAGAACCCAGAGAAGGCTTGGAGGCCGCTTGATCTGTAGCGAGGAGACCTGTCCTAGCTTTTTTGCCCTGCTCTGAGCGGGCTCCACACAGTCACTGCCTTCCACGCTGCTGTCTCAAAGCCACGCTCCACCACCACTGACATTGTAAACGATGTCGTGTTGGGCGCTCGAGACCCAACACAGCCCGTTCGTCACATGCCAACATTGCAAGCTCTCTGGGCCGGGGTTTTCCTCCATCTTTGCCCGTGAGCTGAGCGCACCCATCGGCCACCTCCAGGCCAGGCGGAGGCCGGGGCGGCTCTGGCAGGCGGGCAGATGCTGTAAAGCTCGGCCTCTCTCCCTCGCCCTCTCTCCCCGTGTCTGCTGCTCGCCTGGCTTGCCTGCTGGTGCGAGCCCACAGCCCCTTCCCTCACTGTCAAGAGTGTCGCCAGCAGCACGACACGGGGTGTGTGTCCGTCACGCAGTGCTGCCTGCCATGGTCGCCCCCCGAGTGGGGACACCCCCCTGACCTGACTCAGATAGGGCTGCGGGCAGCGGGGGGTGGTCAGCTCCCACTGAGATTTCTGGCTTAGAAATAGCTGCTTCTTGCTGGAATTGGGGGTGGTTGGTTGGCCAAAGACAGGTCTGGACGCTGTGACCCTGAGCCCTGGCAGGAATGACCTGCCATGTGGAAACGTGGGTTCAGGTGAACAACGGGGGTTCTGCTGCTACTCAGACTGCAGATTCCTTTCACCTCCCCCACCCCAGGCCTACCCTGATCGTTCACTCACTGTATCAGTTGAGGACCGAGTCTCGCCTGAGCAGCCTGGAGCACAGTTGCAGCCCCAAAACTCAGAAGCATTGGCTCAGGGGTGTCGGGTCTGGGTCTGATATTGCTCCAGTGTCTCTTTTCCCGGGTCTGGAGAGCGGAGGGGCAGATTTGTCTCAGGGTGTGAGGATACGCAGGGCAGGCTCCTGCTGGCCCATGTCCCCCTGGGGACCTGACCCATCAGTGGCTGTGAGAGGTTCTGCTGCTCCCTCCTGCCAACTGTTGCTGCTCCTGAGTTGCCGCGCAGAGGGAGTTATGGTCACTTCCATTTCGGCTGCCAACTCCAGTGCTCAGTCCTGCTTTTCTCTCAAGCCTGCTTGCATCTCTCCTTCTCTGCTTTGCTGTCCCTGACTGAACTAATCCATCCTGTGGCTTCCAACATTCTCTACAGAGCAGGGGTGTCTGCTAGGGGTGCGGGAATGAGGGGATTCACCAGAGACACAGTGGGGGAGCAGAACAGGTGGATCCACTGAAATAGACTGCTGTGGGGGCCAGCGGGGGAGAGAGGAGAGGTCTGCTGCACTGTGTGGGTACCTCCCTGGCTGGGGATGGAATGCAGGCCGCAGAATTGATAGTGTTGAGCCTTCACCCCTAGGCCACCAGGGAGGCCCGACATGGCCCCCTCATAGCCATAGTTATCCACCCGCCCAGCTGCTCTGGCCGGAGGGGAGCTGCTGTTCTGCCTCTCTCAGAGTGGGAGTCTTGTGCTCTGTAGCTTGCCTGTGCACACGACCCGTCTCAGCCTAAGGGACTGCAAAACTCCACAGAAGGCTCCACATTCTCTTTGGGAACTGACAATGCACCTACCAGCCCGGGATGGCTGCAAGGTACTAGGCCAAGACTGATGCCCCCTCACTAGTTATCCCGCCTTCCTTAAACATCCTCCATCCCACAAGCAGTTGAAGAGTGAAAGCATAGATCACTGATTCTGCTGCTTCAAGCCTTCCCGTGGTCTTGCTGTGCTTGGAATGTCACAAATACCCTTTCTTAAAGCCTTCCCTGTCCTCACTGGTCTGATCCTGCCCATCCCCGCCTCCTCTCCCTGTCTCCAGCCCTCCTGGGTGAGCTGCCCTTCTTCCTGCCACATCCTGTTGCCACCTGGGACCTTCGCTCTTGTTCTTGCAGAGCCCCTCCCCCCCGACCCCGTGTCTGCCCCTAACCAGCTCTCTGACCTTGCTTTGCTCCAACCCAGACAACACCCGTCTGACCGCCTGCAGGCTGGAACTACACGTTTCGTCCTGAACCACATTCTCCCTTCTCAGTGTCATCCACACCGAAGTCACACTAACATGTTTTGAGAATTTCACGCTAACATGGAATTCCCACCTATGCCTTGAGCTCCTGAGACAGTTTAGTTTGTGGGAAGAATGCTGTCGGCTGACCCAAACCAACCTAAGACAAGAACATTCTAAGGAGTAGTACATTTTGAATGTCCCCTTGGCTTTTTTTAAAAAAAAAAAAATTATTTTTATGCATATAAGAGCTGGGGTACAGGCCAGAGGGGTGGGATGAGGGGGTGAGAGGATTCACCAGAGACAGAGTGGGATGCAGAACAGGCAGACTGACTGAAACACACTGCTGAGGGGAGCAGCGGGCGAGTCAGGAGAGGTCTGCTGCGCCATGTGGGTTGCTCCCTGGCTGGCCAGGGATCAAGCTCGTGCTGCAGAGGCTGCGGACAGCGTCATAGGTTGCGTCTTAACCCCCTGCGCCACTGGGGAGGCCCTCCCTTGGCTTTTTACATGTGAACATTTTCTCATTCTACATCAGGAATAGATTCTAACAGTTTTGATTAGGGAAGCTTTGTTTTAAGCGATATCTCAAAGTGCTTCAAATGACAAATGTCACGTGCGAGGTCATAAAGGTTGACATCCTATGCCACATTGAGTTTCAAGTGCTCTGTTATGTAAAGCGTTTGTTACATGAATCTATGTGACTGGGGAAGCAGTGAGGGATTCAACATCAAACATAGCTTCATCCCTTAAAGGAGGGTATCTTTTTTTTTTTTTTTAACTTAATTTTAACCTGTTGGCTTACTTGCCTCACGGTCCACATCATTGTCAATACCTATGTCTAAACATAAAGGGAAAAATGAACTGAAATGAATGGAGAACATGATGGGTCATTTATTTTAGGTGTAAGCTGAAATTTTAAATACCCGCCACTTGGGTTTATCTGGTCCTTCTAGCCCCGCTAGTACAAGTTCCACGTGATGACTCTTTGGCCAAAACCCGGCGGGCCGTGTCCAGAGTCCCTGTTCATTGGACCATCTCCCGCGCTGGCCTGTGTTTTTCATGAACGATGGGCTTTCGGTGTTAGGAGGTGAGGTTCCCTGGAAGTAGGGGAAAAAGCGTAACATGGGCCCATATGAGCTGAGTATGGGTGTGCTGGGGCAGGGGTGTGTGGCCGGCAACCAGCAGCCAGACGAGCTGGGTTCCAGGAGGCGCTCGGGTCCGAGGGACCAAGGGCGTCCCGTGACGGGTATTTTCATCAACACTTGGTCCCTCCTCCCGTCCTCTCTCCTTGTTCCATCTCCAAGCCTCGGCGCTTCCTGGCATCTGCACAGAGGCCCTAGGCCTGCCTCTCTCAAGCATCTGTGAGCCCTGCATTAATGGGAGCCGCGCTACTCATGTCGTCTGACAAAAGTCCGGGCATGGGGCAGATTTCTGAAAAATCAGGAATCTCGTTAGCTGACTCCAAGATTCTCCTCATTTGTTTATGGCTAGTCTCTACCATTGCTAAAAATACGCATTTAAAAGTAAAACTGCAAATGCTTTTTGAGCAATTAATGAATAACTAATTTGATGGCAAATGACACTGCATGATACAAATATTACATTTTTTATAAAATTAGTCTTTCTCTGCCAAAAGGCAGTCAACATTTGGCCTTACATTAACAAGTCAAAAAACTTCTGGGAACAAAAGGCTGTAAACATCCCTTGGCCAAGTCTTTAATATGGAGATGTGGTCCTTTGAGGCAAGAGCTAATTGGAGAAGGAAATTCCATTACTTTAAAGATAGCAATTGGGTGGCAGACGTGATCCATTCTCCAAGTGTAAGAACATTTCTGATGAGCCAGGAGGCGCCATAGCTAACTCCTGCTAAATTCTTCCTGTTTGTTTAGGGCTGATTCCCCTGGAGGTGACAGTGGTATGGTAGCTGTTAGAGTATGCATTCAAGAATAAGTCAACAGCAATTTTATGACTGGTAGAGCTAAAACAATATAAATAATAATTTCTGAATAAAAGCCTTCTGTTTTTTACTTTAATCAATTAGTTGTATGTTGGTCTAAACTTCATAGGTTAGTTAGAAATAATCTTTGTTTCCCTTCCCCCAGGTAACTTCCTGCCCTTTGTTTCCCTCAGCCCATAGTTAATCGTTCACCATGGCAAACTTAGAAATGTTAATTGTAGACACATACACTTTTTGCCAGTAATACAATAACTGTTAAATTGTGTAAAGTAAATAACTATTTTGAAAACATTTGTTTAGCAACTGTGCCTTCTTTAAGACAAAAAATAATAAATGTTACACCTCTGCCGGAAGGCAAACAGACCCTTGGCGGCTCCTGAAAAGGGACATGTGATAATTGTTATCTTCCTACCTTGTGCTTGTGTACTCACAATTTGCTTAGTATAAATAAAGGACTGCTGAGACCCTCAGTAGGATGATGTCAGCACCCTGATCAAGTGTCTGAGTCTTCTCATTCCCTTTTCCCTTACCATTTTTCTCTACTATTGCGCCGACGCCTTCCCATCCTTCAGGAACCCCTGACACCCAGACTGCTGCGGCTGGCTCGCAACACTGCATCTTTCCCTCTCAGATTTGATCTGCCGAGGCTGCCTCCAACTGCAGCATCCACGTCATGAACAGGAGCCCAGACATGCCTCACAAGGACCCTGTTTGGAATCATTTGGCCCCTGAACGATGGGGGTGGGGGGCGGTGTTGTCTGCGTTTCTTTCTTCCCACCC